CCATAACAGAAGAAAGCATCGTAGTTTCCCTGAAGACCGTTTTTATTCCTCACTTCCTTGTTCACTCATCCTTTTAGAGAGAATGAACGAAGATAAAGACAAAACATGAGAAAAGATCTCATTATATCCCCTTATGTATTCACCATTCCTTATTAATCTAATGTTATTTTCAATCAAACCTAGGATTCTCAATAAATGTTATTTTAAGCCGATTCAGTTCATTATCAGAATGGTTTCTATCGGCTAGTCTTAAGCTCCGAGTATACAAAGATTTTAAAATTCTTCTGGTGGAATCGAAACTGGACAAGAGATTGAATTGTCTCGAACTTCTCGTTTTGTTGATTATGGCATGCCTGCGGTTAGACGAGAAATTATGGAAGCCATTGAAATAAACCGAATAGGGCATACATTGAATTTAAGGAATACCGTCAGGAAGATAAGTAAAAATTACTTGTGCTTATTTAATTTACTTAGAGATAGAGAGGGTTTTGAGCTTCCTACAAAAATGGGGAGATAGTGTCCATCAAGCCTTGATGGCCGAGAACAGACGTCACTTTTACTGTCCTAATTACTTTGAGCCATTACTGCTGGTTTCGTGCATAGGCAAATACATACAGAGACAGACACGCTCAAATGCTTTGAGGTTGACATATGACTAGAACTAACCAAAATATCTAATCAAAGAGATCAGACATAGAATATAATTACAACTTTTTAGGGATGTGTCGGTGAGTTTTCTTGACTCGTTAGCTTAAATTTGGTTGTAAGGATGATACCTTGTTCCGATGATGTTCGTCATATGACGGACGAAAGTTTAGTACGTGTTCATCTGAATCCTTGGAGAATACCTTGGAAACAGCGTCAATATGGCTGTTCCAGTAAAGCCAATCGACAGCTGGTCAAGAGGAATCCGCCGTCGTATTCTGGTGGAATCAACCTTCGAATCCCTTCACCAAACACTTTCACTTGAAATGGAAGTAAGCTCAATAAATGTGTAAGCTTCTTTTCCATATACAACACACGAAATCTTTGGTCAGCCTGATACATGCAATTGTTTCATACAAATAGTCTGAAATGGTTTCTTCTTTTGCCTTTATTTGATGACATTAGTATCTGTTAGTCGGATTCATTTTTTATAGTCTATGCATTATTAGCTTCTTTTTGTGTCCTTTTGCACTTTCATTTGCATCCCCTTCCTGCGCTTATTTTCCTTAGTTTGACCGCTAATGTGCCCTTCTTTTTCAATTACCCATTTTTTGGCTATCGTTATTCTTGTTTTGTTCTTTTCCCTCACCATTTGGTCCCACCCTAGCGCTAATATATAGACCTGAACCTTTTATTTGATCTCCCCTCTTCATGTTATCTTTGCTTTTTTGGCATTGTTCAGGTTTTTGATGAAGCTGATGCTCCCCTGACTCAGTCAGCCGGCTCATCCTCTGTTATCGCCAGTCAGCCGGAGGCACCTAACTGCGTCGTCATATCAATGGCTGACGAAGCTTTATCCTCAACCTGTCATCGTCGCGACAGTCAATCTGAGACCCTAGACTCTGAGAAGCAGGCTCTGGCACCTGAGTTAGTCACAGCGCGTGAATACGGTGCCTCCTGCGCGACTCAAAAAGCATTTTAATAATCTTGGACTTTTCTGCAATTGTTTCCCTTTACTTTAATTCGGATGTTACATTAGTTTTGGATCTAGGCGGCTTTCGGAAAGATTCAAACTCGCCACACGTCTTTTGATGTAGCCTGCT